GAACATTTCACACTGAAATCAAATATGTGACTGGCATCAACCCATCATATATTGCATCAGGTGATTTTAACAATGATGGCCGACCAGATCTAGCGATAGCTAACAAAAATTCCAATGACTTGACAATTTTGTTGAACAAATGTAAATAATCAACGATGAAACTTTCAGTTTATTAATGTGTCACCTGATTGTTGATGGTTTAATAGAAGTGATTATGATTCTTAATAAAATACTGTTATTCTTACTCATTTCTAAGGGTAAAATTATTACAAACTTTAATGTTCGATCCAATGTGTATGAAATCTGTATTTTCTCTTACTTTTTTTCATTGAATCATGTACCTCAGTTTTGTTTTGAGTCTTCATATTCGTCAAGAAGGATGTGTTTCAACGATGATTGATTTACTAACCATTTGAATAAGAGCTTTTAGAAAATGACAAAAGAATTTTTTTCAGAACAATCTGAGATGAATTTTTTGTTATAAAGTAGTCTTTAGAAATGTTTTAGTGCATGATATTCTTCAAAACACCGTATCATACAAAGCTAAACATCACACATGGTATAGATAACATGTGTTGGTACACTCTTTCTCCTATCTGTTTGTTAGGCTACAAACTACATAATATTTCTGTCGAGTTTTTCTTGCTGCCATTACTACAGGGTGTTCCATAAATATGGGCGTGGGCAACCGATTTGATACCCCAACACATATTGGCTTGTTTAGCATTAATAGTACATCGAAGAAAGGTGATTTTTTTACCACTTGTAGTGTATATATACCACTAACGATCTATCACTCTTTGAACTATACATAGTGCCAGAAAGGAGGACTATTAAGTTTGGCTTTATAATCATCGCTTTCCACGTGCGCCATAGCTACTTTGTTTACATTACACTTTTAGTGTGCATTCCGCGTACAGTAAAGATTAATCTATCCCGCTACTGTTTTATTTCAGTCACGTCATTTTCGTTCTTATTATAATTCGTTGACGCGTCTATTCGTTCTTTCTTTTCTTTCAACATACTTTCACTTAGTCGTAAGCGCTTCCTATCTTTGCACTATGTTTTCTTCGCAACTTGAATGGAGTTGTTCTCAATGTCAATCTACCGTAATTGATCGTCGAAAATATTGTACAGATTGCGATTCGATGCTAACTTGGACATGTATTGGTTCGGGAAAATCTGGTTTGTACACTAATTATTATCGTCATCGTGACAGCTGTTATTATTGTACACCAGAGCTCGAAGAGGAAAGACGACAGAAAATAGAAGAAAAGCAAACTTCCATTCGGAAACATTTTCAAGCTTTAAATGATGGTGAGTAGCATTGATCGTGCCAACATACGCATACGACTCTTGTTTCGTTATTTTAGAACAAAGTCCATGGTCAGAATGGAAACGCAGTGATGAATCTTGTCGACAGCATACCGGACATGACATCGAACAAATACAACAACTATATTCTCTGTGTGAACAGTCACTTCTGAACCATTGCTCGCACAGAAACGAGCAACAAACAGATGGTATCAATACACCATATTTATCTCCTATGAATTTGCTTGTAATCACGTTATGGTATCTGAAACATTACCATTCCGAACGTTATATCGCTACAGAATTCGATTTGGTTCGTAAGACAGTGGCTTATTCTTTATCATCGGTTCTGGATATTTTACATTCATGTGTATATCCAGAATTCATTTCATTGCCTACTAATATGTCCAACAGAACTACACCACATGGACCTGAAGAACATCATAAAATTAATATTTGACTCAACTTTCATCGCAATTCCTCAACCCGATGACTCAACTGAACGTAAAGCGTACTATCATGCGAAAAGCCCAACAAACTATGCGTTAAAAGTGCAAATAGCTTGTGATTTTCGTCATCGAATAGTGCATGTGTCGGAATGTTATAAAGGCAGTGTACATGATATCACAATTCTAAGGGAATCAGGATTATTAGAACATTTAAATGACTCGGTACAAATTATTGCTCACAAAGGTTATATCGGCGAAGAATATGTCGTCACTCCAAGAAAGAAATCTCATGGACGTGAACTGGAAGAAGAAGATAAAGAATTCAATCGAAATATTAATAGCGCTAGAGCAGCTATTGAAAACATCAATCAGCGTCTCAAAACTTATTCGATCTTAGGTGGTGTTTACAGGGGAGCTATTGATGACTATCGTAAGATAACTAAAATTGTACAAGTTGTTTCTGCTCTTTGTAATATGAATTTGGATAAATATCCTATTCGTAAATAAACAATTATGATCAGCTCCATTGTCTGACCACTTAATAATAACATTCACTGCTTAATATTGTTCTAAATTCCCTAGTAAAAACTAGCGTATTCTATTAAATTGAATATGAAATACTTTTAAGGCGATCGTTATAAAAATGAAATTGAAAATCCTTCTTTTATAGCACTATATAGAGCTCAAAGAGTGACAGATCGTTAGTGGCATATATGCACTACAAGTGGTAAAAGAATCACCTTTCTTCGATGTACTATCAATGCTGAACAAGCCAATATGTGTTGGGGTATCAAATCGGTTGCCCACGCCCATATCTATACGATAAAAAAATTCAATATCTCCTGGAGGGTTCGACCTATAGGGCTGATTTTTTATCGATGATAGAGGAGTGTTCAAAGTTTTTATTCATAAAACAAACGTTAAAAAATAGCGCTTTGAGCTATTACCTTTAACCTGAATACAAAAATTTAGCCTTTAATATAATGGTGTGGACGGTATTTTCAAAAGATTTTTCATTCGAATTGCCTTCCAATATAACCATTCGATAGAGAATATTATTCTCTTTCGATCTGTGCAAGCCCAAGCTCATTAGCTTGTTCCAGTTAAGAGATAAAATCAGTTTTTTGAGAATCTCAAAATCGACTAAATGACCCCCAAAATCAGTCAAGATAGGGGTAATCTGCCACGCTGAGCCGAATGGTGATGTTTCCTTTCAGTTTTGAAGCGGTCTGAAGTGGAAAAGTCGAAATTTTGGAAATATCAGCTCGAACAAGATAACGATCTGATGTTGAAATTTAAAAAATAGTTGATTAAGTGACTTCAGACCGCTTCGAAACTGAAAGGAAACATCACCATTCGGCTCAGCGTGGCAGATTACCCCTATCTTGACTGATTTTAGGGGTCATTTAGTCGATTTTGAGATTCTCAAAAAACTGATTTTATCTCCTGACTGGAACAAGCTAGTGAGCTTGGGCTTGCACAGACCGAAAGAGAACAATATTCTCTATCGAATGGTTATATTGGAAGGCAATTTGAATGACAAATCTTTTGAAAATACCATCCACACCATTATATTACAGGCTAAATTTCTGTATTCAGGTTAAAGGTAATAGCTCAAAGCGCTATTTTTTAACGTTTATTTTATGAATAAAAACTTTGAACACTCCTCTATCACCGATAAAAAATCAGCCCTATAGGTCGAACCCTCCAAGAGATATTGAATTTTTTTATCGCATAGATATTTATGGAACATCCTGTAGTAATGGCAGCAAGAAAAACTCAACAGAAATACTATGTAGTTTGTAGCCTAACAAACAGATAGGAGAAAAAGTGTACCAATACATGTTATCTATACTATGCGTGATGTTTAGCTTTGTATGATACGGTGTTTTGAAGAATATCATACACTAAAACATTTCTAAATGCTACTTTATAACAAAAATGCATCTCAGATTATTCTGGAAAACTTTCTTTTCTCATTTTCTAAAAGCTCTGATTCAAATGGTTAGCAAATCAATCATCGTTGAAACACATCCTTCTTGACGAATATGAAGACTCAAAACAAAACTGAGGTACATGATTCAATGAAAAACAGTAAGAGAAAATACAGATTTCCCACACACTGAGTTGAACATAAAGGTTTGTAATCATTTTACCATTAGAAATGAGTAAGAATAACAGTATTCTATTAAGATTTATAGTCACTCCTATTAAATCATAAACAACTAAGCGACAAATGAATAAACTAAAAGTTTCATCGTTAATTATTTACATTTGTTCAACAAAATTGTTAAGTCATTGGAATTTTTGTTAGTTACGGCTAGATCTTGTCAACTATCATTGTTAAAATCACCTGATGCAATATATGATGGATTGGCGCCAGTCACATATTTGATTTCAGTGTGAAATGTTCCATTTCCAGTGCCAAGCAGAATGCTGACGGTGCTCTCCAAATAATTGACCACTGCTATATCCATTCTGTTATCATTGTTAAAATCATCTGATATCACTGAAACTGGACCGCTGCCAACGGCATAACTCTTAGGAGTCTCAAAGATTCCATCTGGTTTGCCAAAAAATACACTGATAGTGTTTTCTCCTGAATTGGCAACTGCTAGATCCAATATTTTATCGTTGTTGAAATCACCAGATGTCGCAGAGTGTGGAATTTTTCCGGTGGCATACTTAGCATAAGTTTGAAAAATTCCATTTCCATTATTCAGTAACACGCTGATAGTGTTTTCACCT